CTTTGAAAAAAATTAAAATCATTCATAATCTTACCACCTAAAGGCAATGAATTAAATCTGTATCCTTTCCAGTATTTTCTATGGGCATATTTTTAAATATTGAGATGTTACTGTGTTGCCTTTTTTTTCAGTAATACCAAAAGAATTACACCATGGATATACTGTTTATTGAATCATTTCTCTAGTGTCCAACATTAAGATTTTATCTTGTTTTTCACCATTATTGATAGGCTGAGTATTGAACAGAAATCTTGTCCCTCATTTGTAACCATTTCTGTAGTATAGAAGATATGTAACCATTTCTATCCTAGAAGACAAATTACTGTTATAAAATTTTACAAGCTAAATGGATGTGACTAGTGACAGTCCATGTGAAGTTTTCCAGAAAGTCTATACTAATAATAGCTACTTGAATGTCTACTACATTCTATTTTTTCAGGTAGATTTTATTATGCTTGTTTTATTGACCTTTGAGAAAACTAAGGTCCATTAATGTGTTTTGGTCAGAGCCACTGAACTGCAAGTGGCAAAGCTATAATTCAAATTCAGAAATGTTCAGTTCCAAGCTCATGTTATTGCCATATAGATTTCCAACATAAACATTAAGTCACCAAGTTATTATCTATTTACTGAAGAAAACATAGAAAATACAAGGAGAAAGTAAGGAAAATGAAAATAAATTGCTCATAAGTCTGCCACGTTCAACTGTTTAGTGAATTTACTGTTTTTAGTTCCAGATACAATTTTTGAGGTGAAAATAACTATAACAGTTGGAAGTGGTGGCACGTGTCTATAACCCCAGCTATCCAGGAGGTGAGGCAAAAGGATAAAAAATTCAATGGTAATTTAGTGAGATCCTATCTCAAAATTTCAAAATGAAAAGGGCTGGACATGCAGCTCAGTGGTTGAGCAAGTCTGAGTTCAACCTCCAGATTATAATTTCTCCATACTACCCTTTTCACTTAACAGTTTCAATACTGCTTCTTACCTTTCAAGAACATGAATTTTAAGTTACATACTTTTATTAATTTGATGTTACTTTGTAAATTTTTATAGTTGTTCAGCTCACTAGTGAATTTGTTCTTTTCATTCCCAGGACCCACTATCTCCCATGAGACTTACAGAATTCAATGTTGGGAATCACTCTTATCTTCAAATCACCACGTTGGACTGAAATATTCAGAAATTCAAAGCATTTCATCAAATACTTGCTGTGCAGATGTTTCAGGACTTTACACATTATTTAATTTACTGACAAAATTCAAATTTAACAACAATTACTTTTAAACTAGTTTCTTTTTCTTCCTCACTCTTTTTCCAATCCAAGAAAGCCATGTAAGACATATATCTCTACATTCATCTTCTCAGGCAAATGGGAACTTAAAAGATTTCTTTTGAGCCTTAATTATTCCAGAAAGACTATCATATCTATAGCATCTATTTAATATTGAGGGGAATTGGGATATATTTGCTGTTTGTGTGCATGTGCATTTATGAATATGTATTTTGAAGAATAGCTATACAAAATTCTGCCATCATGTCATAAAAATTAAGCTTAAAAAAGGGATTTTAATTAATCATAACTTTACCCTAAAGAGAAGTTTATATATTTACTGAGCTTTCAACCTTCCCATATCAGATATCTGAAATTTGAGAAAATGCAACACACTGTGACCAAAGTCCTCAGATTGAGAATTTTCACAGAGGCTCCTCAAAGCACTATAAGTAATATGCAAGATCGAATCAGATCAGTACAGATTTCTACTTTTTTAAACAACAACTAGGGTTTTAAAGACTTAGTACTAGGCTGTGGTAAGATTCTTTAGTTATTTGTATTCATTCTTCTGCTGTCTAGGTCTACTTTGACCTTTATATGAAACTTTTACAATGAAAAAATAATAAGGCTAAGTTATGGACCATCAGTTTTAAAAAAGGTGTTAAAGGTGACTTTCAGGTTGAATTACAGTGCTGTTCAAAGGATGAAAATTCCATTGTTGACATTATCTGAGGATTAACAAAAGATCTGTGTTTTCACAGCAGGAGTTAATGTACAGATAGTGATAACTGAACAGTAATATGTCAATCTTTTCTTCAAGCTTTAGTGGCAACACAACCATTAAGATAGTTTACATTCATTTCCCCATTTCTTTATAATCAACCTGTCTTTCAGTTCCACTGCCTGAATCAATGAGTATGGAGACTAATGATGCTTTTTTATGCTAATAACTTGAGAGTGTTGATGTTTTTCACATTTTGACCAGTGTTGTAGTGCTCAACTCCTGACAATAAGCCCCCAACTCTGAAAGAGAACAGTGCAAGTTAGAATTATCTGAGATATCAAAAAATTGAACCATTTGTAGGATGGTTTGTTTTACTAAATTAGCTTCCTAAAATCTTTTTGAGTGAAAAAAGTCAGTTGCCTGCCACAGGTAACTCTAACTCATTGTTAGAGTTCCAGCACAACTGAGAAAGTAAGTATTGCAGCTACTTTACACAATAACAAACCCTGTTTACTTATATCTGATAGGTACTTTAGATAAATGTGAGACTTTCAGCATAATATAAATAGACTTTGGTGAGATTTTCATTTGAGAGAATACTAAACATGACTAAATCTATTAGGACCGGAAGTAAGGGATTGTGTCTTAAACTCAGTAACTAAGGAACAGCGTAATAGACTTTGAATGCTGAACTTCATGAAGAAGTCTTATACATTCAGATTCAAAGATTTTCCCTCTTTCTATTTTCCTTCCAAAACTTTTCTTGTTTCAATTTCTCAAAAACTTCTTTGGCTATCTACATAGTTTTATGATGGACAGGTTTTGTTTTCTATTGTATGCAAATATATCTTTCTATAAGTACAGGAAGATTGTTTACGTCATATCAAGTAGGCCTCAAAGCAATCTTCCTCTTTCCTATCTGTCACCATCTGCCAAGAGTATAGACAACGCAGCTGCTATTTATGATTCAAAGTCAGAAAGGCATGAAGAACTTCTCTGACGCATAGCATGTTTTAGGACTAAATGTCCTCACAAAAGACAGTATTAGCAAACTACAGGGAAACACTTGAGAGGTAGAGCTCTGTGTAGCTATAATGTGACACTGATTTTTTTATGTCTAGCCCTAACTCTATATGCTATTTTCCAGAAGGTCAAATGAATTAGAGATTTACTCAGGGACTTGGAGAAAAAGGAAACCCTATTCTTATTGTAGCACTTTGATCCTATTAGTTTGTAGATTGATAATAGCCCTATCTGTAGATCATTTGAAAATTGACTACTCTGCATATCCATCAACTGGTTGATTATTGATCAAGAAGATAGAGAGGTTTGCTTAATAATAAGCAAGCCATGATCTGGCTCCTTGTCCTTCTTATCAGTGGAACCCTGTTCAACAACCTCTGTGGGATCTCATTCCTTAATTTATGGTAATCTTTTTTCCTGTTTTCAACATGAAAGTGTTTGTTAAGATCTTACATCTGAAAGGTGCTATGTAACTCCCTAGTGCTCTTCTATGTCTTTAATTGCATCACTGGGATGAAAAATTTAACCATAATGGTATTTCTAAGTTACATGCTTCAGTCTTTCTTCCAATCTTTTATGCTGATGTCTTGCTTAGATGGCTTAGAGTACTTTGTTAATGTTCCTCTATTTGATTCAACAGTATCCTTGGAAAGAGACAAAATAAAAATTACTTATCCTGTGGTAGAGCTGGAAAAATTAAGGATAAGAAAATGATATAATGCTATCCAAAACAACATAGATATGTTTAAAGTGCACAATGACTTGAATTTTTCATACTGGAATTACCATGGAGCAGCTTAAAATCCCAATAACAATGAAGATAGGCTCATATTCCAAAGTAGTCTAATTTTGTCCAAAATATTGAAGCACGCCATTTATACAACTCTTACATTTTAATTGAGTATGTATATCTTTTTCCCATTGGTCTTGTGTGGCACATAAATTTCCCAAAATATGGTATTGGCCAGTGCCATAATCCTCTGTAGCATCATTAAATCCCAATTTCAGGGCTGGTTTTGCAAGAAATACAATGTGCTTCCCCATGTTTCTGCCAAATTGTGCAATCTCCTGTCATTTAAATTAATAGAGATTCAAGCAAAGTCATAGCAAGTATGGATATCTATTATTATAATTCAGAACTTAAATGTAATTAGGCCCAAATATACAGGAATATGAATCACTCAAAACCTATCTCTTTTTTTTAATCTTAGGGAGGGTCGACAGGGTGTTCAGGGTCTTACTACTAGATCGGACTCATAGTGATCCGCCTGTTTATAGCCTCCCAAGAGCTGGGATTACAGGCGCCCACCACCACACTGTCTCAATTGCTGTCTCTGTGCATCCCAGGGACAGGGCCAGCACAGCAGGCCCAGGGATAGAATCCCTGGCCCCTGAACCTGCGTGCAGGTGTTTTAATCCACTGAGCTATTTGGCTAGCCCTCAAAACCTATCTCTTTCATATCACATTATACATATTTGTATGTGTTCATATGCACATACACAGCTGGCTATGATAATCCATGTCTATTAATCCCTACACTTTGGGAAGCTGAGTCAGGAGTACCTCAAGTTCAAACCCAATCTAGGCCACTTAGTGACTTAATGAGACTTTGTCTCAAAAATTAATAAAATAATATAGGGCTGGAGATACAGCTTAGTGTGAAGGCCCTGAGCTCAAACCCAGCATTTTAAAAAAAAGCCCTTATGTGTGCATGCACACACGCTTCTCAATCATCTCCCCAAGAAGGCTGCCTGGTCACAAGCAGCAAATACTTTAAGAATTGACTTTCTGTCCTTTCTTTTGAAAAAAAAATCCAAAAATCCTAACAAGTGAAAAAACTTTCCTTCATACATTTGAAATCTTCTGCTATCAAAGTGACTAACAGGCTCAGTTGATGCAAGAGCCATGTTCTGTGCAGAAGCACACAAAGCATCTAACAAGATGATCAGATCCTTCTATACATCCTGCGTTCTCAGAAAATTGATGAGCTCCATCCATTCAGTAAAAAATGGTTGAGAAGGTATGGTACACCTGCATTTATTTAATCATAGCTGTAATGTACCATATTAAATAGTAACCATCTGCATGTGGCTGTTCTGTAATATAACAATTATTGGGTGCGTTCTAAAAGCATGTAACCCATGACTTGTTTACTTCTCCAAAATGGTTAGGGCTGTGTCCTGCACATTATTTAAAATCATTAAATGTTTTCATTGGAACAGCCTGGTACACAGCCATAAGCAGAATGAGTTAAAATAGTTTCTTAGTAGGAAATAGCATTAAAAGAGAAAAATAAGATAAAATATGTTTGGAGAATAATTGCTTTCACCCTGCTGGCTAAATCAGTGAAGGAACACAGCAGGAAAGCTGAGACCAGGTCTTAGTAATGTATGAAATGTATTGAAGAGACAGAAAAAGAAAAGCATTGGGAACCTCGGCAGTTAAACTCAAGTTTCCAATTTGCTACAAATCATTTTTTCCAACAATCTGCTCAAAAGTAACTGTATATATTGTTCTTAAAACCATACATCTTGTTGCAGAAATATTGACAAGTGTTGGACAGCATTATCTTCCTACATCCTTTATTAAAAGTATGTACATAAAATTATTGCTTATTTTCTATATTATGTTTTTGGTAAACAATATTAGCAAAGCCTAAATTTTTTACTGCTCTGAAATTTCTGTACATCTCATTTCATATGGGTATAACAGTTTATTCACTCCCAGGTTTTTGGTATGTGTGATATGTAGACTCCTTTGTAATATTTCATCTTCTGAACTTCCCTTTCCATGTATTAAATATTTCTTATGTTCCTACATGAGTATGAGTTGGGAAATAAATAATAATGTCTTTTAGGTAGAAAACTGACTGGCTTCATGGTACTTTATCATTTTCACTCTCCATTCAACCTCACATATCTGCCATTGTAAGTAAAAAAAGAAAGATTTTTCTTTATTGTTTTTTAGAGTGAAGTGATTTCTGGTTTGGTTTTTCTTTTTTGTATACCAAAACTGTTTGTTTTTCTGTCATCTATAAGAAGAATACATTGGTCCTGAATAAAGAACATAGTATCCCACTTACTCATGAATCATACATGACACTCAGAAAAGTATTTGAAGAAACTCTCATTAAGCAAACTCCCAGTAAATGTTCCCTCAATAATGCACCATTTGCACAAAAAGTGTTTTACAGACATAATGGGAGAAAAGTCGGATTTGTAAACCAAGAAAGCATAAGTTATTGAAAATTCAGGTGTCATTGGTAACTATCTGCCTAAATAGTAGTGCAACACGTGAATTACTTGGGAAAGCCACGATTTATGGAGGTCGGGCTTCATAGAAAACCAGAAAGAATTTTTTATTCCAATTAAACTTATAGAAACGAATTTACTTTGTCCTTGGTAAAGACCTCAAATATCTCTGTTGAAAATTCCATTTCATGTATTACAATTCATCAGTTACAAACAGCTTTAATTCACATCACAAAAAAAATTTAAAATGCTATAACACTAGAAAGCAACTAATTTCTTTGTAGATTAAAAAATGTTAAAAACACCTTTATACAAGAATCTTATTTGAGGTAAGAGTAATAAGAAAATTTATGGCATAGATATTTAAAAGAAAATTTTATAAATACAGATATAAATAAGGATATATTTGTAATGCTTTACACAGGAACACTGAACATAGCTAGTCATTTTATCATTGAGTGTTTACTCATTCTCATATTAGGGTTCTCTGGAGGATATAAAATATATGTATAATTATGCAATGGGATTTATCCGGTAAGCATGCAGGATGACAAGCAGAGCAATTCCTGATGGACCTCTGCACATGGGAAAGCCACAGGCAGTGGCTGCTAAGCCCAAGAAGATAGAAGCTGCAAAGCAAGAGAAATCTGTGATGCAGTACCAGCCTAAAGTCAAAGGCTTGGACACTCACTATAGAATCACCAGTCGGGGCCGGGGAGATGGCTCAGTGGAATAAGCACTTCCTTGGCAAGCACAAGGGTCTGAGTTCAATCCCCGGTTCCGCCAAAAATAAAAATTAAAAAAAAAAAAGAATCACCAGTGCAAGTATGTTTCAAAGGCTGAAGAAAACGGAAGCCAATATCTTGAAGTGATGGTGAAGGTTGGAGCACTTTCCAAACAGGACAATATCTTCTTTCCCTTTTTTATTCCATCCAGACGTTAAGCTTATTGGTTGGTCCCAACCAAATATAGGATGGATTTTCCCCCCTTGGTTTACTTGCCCCATGTCAGTCAACCACAGACATATACAGAACTGTGCTTTACTAATCTGGTAGGTGATTTTTTTTAATGTGTTTAATACAGGGTCTCACTACACAGATCAGACTCACAGTGATCCTGTTTTCAGCCTCACAATCACTGGGATTACAGGTGAGTGCCACCATGTCCAGTCTCAGTTGCTGTCTCAGCGCACCCTGGGGGCAGGGCTGGCACAGCATCCTGACCATCGAACACCAGTCTCTGAGCCAGCCCAATCAGACACTTTAGTCCACTGAGCTATCTGGCCAGTCCTGGTAGGTGTTTCTTATTCAAGTCAAATTGACATATCACAACTAATAATCACATAGTAGTATATATCAGTGTTTACCAACTCTAGAGGGGTACAGAATATATGACAGAAAAGGTGCATATTAAGTCAACTTTTTAAAAGAAAATATTTGGATATATTTCTGATTTTGAAATACATTTTCAGCATAAACCTCATCTGAAGTGCTCTAATCAATTTTATAAATCAGCACTATTTCATACTCAGATCCTGCTAATGCTGGCAAGTGAAAATAAATATAGCTTTATACTGTAAGAATTTCTATGAAAATAAAACCCAATTCATTGTACTAGGAAAGCAAAATTTTGCTATTCAAGCTTTAAAGAACGCAGGTTTCCAGTTAGTAAAAAATTATCATTAAGTTGCACTTATCAATCTACCCTCCTACTATTCATAAATTACCCTGGACAATTATAGGCACTTGTTAGCACAATGTGTTTCTGAAAGAATCAATATAAATAAAACCTAAAATTACTTCTGAGTCACAAAGAAGCTGTGTCAAGGCTAAAGAATTCTGAGAGCTGAGTTTACTATGAAATATAACAAAAGGAAAAGGAAATCCTGAGAGGGGAAATCCAAGATGTGGCAGGGAACACCAACATTGTAGGTCTTTTTCAATTGTTGGTCATCTCTAAATGTTGAGGCCTTCTATTTCATTTCATTTTATTTTATTTTATGTATTTAGTAGAGGGTCTACAGGGTCACAATATACGGATCAGACTCATAGTGATCCTCTTGTTTTCAGCCTCCCAAGTGCTGGGATTACAGATGTGCACCACCATGCCCAGTCTCAATCAATGGCTCAGTGTGCTCCAGTAATGGGGCAGGCACGGCACACAGGGATCAAACCCCAGTACCTGCACCTGCCTAAGCAGGCACTTTCATCAGCTGAGCTATCTTGCTAGCCCTGGCATTCTATATTATAGCTTTGTATCTTCAATCCATAAAGATTGTGGTACTGTTGAGAATAAAATTAATTGACTTCTTGTATGTCTATCCTATTAGCTGAATTGGTTCAAAGGCAACTTCATTTTTGCATGCACTGTCATTTCCTCAGTCTGATTATCTTATAAGAACCATCTGGAGCACCTATTCCTAAGTTTTAAATACTTCAACTTGAAATGAACACAGCAGTTGGATGCACAACAATATGGTCATTGCTAAGGATATCAGAAAGACTATTTGCAAAGCAGGTATCTTATAAACTCTTCTTCAGACAGCAGGAAACCAAATATTTCTACCAAGTTAAAGCTACCATAAGATTAGAGCACTTGGAATATTTAGCTCATCTCAGTGTTATGTTTAATGAAACTTGCTTTGGTTTTTAAAAGTCAAATGAGTTTTTAATGATAATTTTCTATTACAAGTAATGCATGTACTTTTCCTCAGTAATTCCTTATTATTAGATATTGGAAGTTTAATGCCTAAAGTTTTAAGAGCTCTTTTAATTGTGTATAAATAAATACTGAATGGCAGTGATTCTCAAAGGGAGGACTATAAATAACCCAAAAAGAGCAGGGAAAATAATCTTTGGATCCCATGTAGGGCCAGATATGCTCATGTTGCCTCCAGTCAGGGTGGAAAAATTTGTTAATTTCTAGATCATGAGCTAGAATTCTCAGTGTGGGGGAGTTGAGGTATTTTCATGGGTGAAG